GAGCAACATAAACATAACGGCGCTTAGCAAGATCATCATCATCAGCAGCAGCGTTATCACAACAACTTCTGCCCCTTGGTGATCCAAGGCCAAGTCGGTAGTTGCGCTTGGCCACGGGATCCGTGAGGGCATCGTAGGCCTGCCGCAGCCGCCCATCCGAACCAAGAGCCAAAAGAGTGCAACTCGCGCACACGATGCCTTCTTGATGAGCATGAACTTCTCGGCCGCACCCTCCTCCTGGTTCTTGTCAGGATGGTACTTGAGGGAGAGCTTGTGAAAGGCTTTCCTTGATCAACTGTGAACAGCAGCAACCCAGCAACGGCACGTCACGGATTATCATGATTATACTGCGTGTGCCCTGCGTGTACAACAAGGTTACAAGTGCTCTCCGAGACTCTTGACCTGAGAAGTGGAGCTGGTCATGCCAACATCCAGGATCTCATAAGGATCGAAATTTTGATACCTGAGCCGTACAGTATGGGGCAAGAACCGGACCTCTTTCAGCCCTGCAGGATATGGAGTGGATAAGGTTTTAACACAACCTGTAAATCAGTGCTCGACGAGGCGTTTGTTTTTCACGAGCTGTCTTCCGTGCCACAAAGGTGCAAGGCACTCGTCGCCAAGACCTGCCTGACCTGGCGTGTCTAGGAAAGAGTGCAGTTGCGCTCTTTGCCGTGCTCTCAAGGTTACATGCCATCCTGCAGCACAGCACCACAGCGACTTTGGGCCTGGATGATGATGTAGGTAAGCCAGCACCAAAGAAGCATCAGAATCACAAGGCGCCTCAGCTGTGAAGAGTCTTGTGCCTCATCGTCCCAGAACAAACCCGCCTACACCTCAGAATGCAGACGCTGAGTGATTCGCACTTCGAGTGCAGGCAAGCTGCACCACGAAGCCGCCGGAAAATTTGCGAGATCTCCTCTGGCACAAACTGAATCAAGTTTCCTACATGAACACAGGTCACAGCTACTTCGACAACGCGAAGACCGGCGTAAGAGAAGCCAAAGAGGGCTCAAGCAGCTTATTCTACCCTGGGAATTGGTCACCAGCCATAACCAGCCCTCTTACGGCCACTTGCAGCGAGCTTCAGCTCTTTCAGCGCCGCGTCACGTCGCGCCTTCCGAAGCACACGAAAAAGTAAGACCCAGCACGCCTTTGACGCTCCGAACGGACCCGGCCTCCATGGCCTGTGTTCGGCAGTAGCGCACGCGCGAGCCGTGCTCGCTGGTCTCGGGAAAAGCCTTTGCCACCTCGAAAAGGGGACGACACTGCGCAGACTGGCTTCGACTCCCGCCAAGGATTTCCCGAACCAAGACTTGCGGAGCAACAGCCGGACTCAGACCAGGGCGGACCCCAAAATGCATGATTTTCGCAGGACAGCACATGCCTTCTCACCCTGCTCCTGCCTCGGCACGGCCCGGGAAGAGCAGGTGCCACACCACGGCTGCGGTCCACGGCACCAGCAGGCAGCTCAGCATCGCCAGAAAGAAGAACAGCATCGCCTTAGATTTCTTTTACCTTCCTCAACTTTCCCAGAGGTGCTGCACCTGCCGGCCAGCCACGGAATCATCTCCCTCCTTCTCCGACTGGTTCTTGGTCTTGGCCACTGCGCATGCAGGGGCCAAGGCCAAGGCCAGCAGCCAGACGCACATTGCGTGCATCCGGATCTTCCAAGCCCCAAGACTTGGGGAGCCCTTGAGACACAGCTCGCGCTTATGGCTTATGCCATAATGCTGCATAGCGTCACATCGTGTCATCGTGTTAGCATTCTTCCGTGGATGTTTCTGGAGTCTTGGGCCATTGGCAGAGTTTACCACAAAATCAAGCACAGGCAGATCTCTGCCATCCGTGCAGCTGTCCGGCACCCTCGAATACCTTCTCGCAGAAAACACGCAGACGTTTTTGCAACGCTGGCAATCAAACGACCCGAGGGTTATAGCCCTCCACGAGATGAACCGTCGTGATTTTCAGGTACAGCAGCAGAGCCAGTTCGAAGTCCCTATAAGAAGTCAGAAGCTTCACCCCCGGGTCGCTTCAAGCAAGGTCTGGTGCGGGAGTCTTAGAGTGTTGGCGCCTCTCAAGCCTTCACGACCTTGCCGTAGAAAATGCCCTTCAGGAGAACTGTGCGTGGGGCCTCACATCTGGTTGCTTCGCATCACAAGATTTCTGCGGCCGGAAAGTATCAGATGCACTCAACTGACGATTCGGAAGTTGTCAGGATATCGTGCCCTGCCTTGGCACCCATGTCGGTATCGGATGGCTGCTTCGACACGAACACGCCGCCGATCTCACCCAGCTCCTGGTTCACCTCGCGGAGCGACACTGGCCAAAGCCTTATACACGACTGCCGTTTGCATGACTCGACTCTACGACTCTAGGAGTGCCTTGTTGACCTCCATCTCAATGACGCCCTTGCCCAGGTCGAACACCTGACAATAAGCGGAGCATGTCATCCGCCGTGGGCTCCTTTTGCCGCTGGGCCTTGCCTTGTTGGTCTCCTTGAAAAGCTCATCCTGGCCTCCCTGTCCATCGGACTGCATGGCCGGCAAGGCAACAGCCTGGTCGTAGCCGAGGGTCATGCCGCGGCCCTGAACCGAAATCTCAAGCACTTGCAGCTTGCAAGCTGGTTTATTGCATTCTGCTTCTAGCGCGCCTTAGGGTCCAAGAAACCTCCAGTTCGGTAGGACGGGACGCTGAACTCACCGCCCCAGGTGAAGCCGGGCTTGAAGGAGCTTCCCTCGCCCTTGGCAACCAACTCCTGCAAGCTCCAACTCCAACGAGAGCACTCCCCTTGGCACACTCGGGTTTCCAGGGACCTTGACCGTGAAGAGGAAGGGCACGTACTCACCGTCGGGGAGCTTCACGGTCGTGGCCGCGAAGTCCATGCCATCCTGCTCCTGCCAGGGGGGGGAGCCAACACGCTGAGCTTCACAGGAGTGCTCGTGAAGCTGCCAGTCTCTCCTTGAAGGTAATGGGGTTTGCATCCAGAGAGCCCTCGATGAAGGCCAGGGTGTAAGTCTGGCGGGTGGTGAGCTTGGTGGTGGCAAACTCCTGCATGTTTGCGACAGGCTTTCAATGATAAAAACATGCTGGGTCAGCTGGGCTCAACAATCCATCCTTGCCCTTGTCAGTCTCGAACTCGACAGCGAAGGACTTCGGCTCGAAGCAAACGTTCACGAGGCGGGAACCTGCGCATCTACTTGTCACATCAGAAGTCTAAGAGTGAAATAGAAACGGCTGAGGCTGTGGGGCCGCCGGGCCTGAAGGCACAGGCACCTCAGAGCCGTTGGACTCCACGGTGGGGCAGCGGTTGGCGAGACCGCTGCCCTTCACCTGCGCGTAGGTGAGCTGGCCTCGGGCAAGCGGACTCGACGTCTGCGATTGCATATCCGGTGCACGCGCACCACACCGATCGCCTTTTCTTCTAGCTTCTGCTTTTGCTTTGCCGAGCAACTGAACTGCTCGGCCGTGATTGCCTTGGCTGGCGACGCAGCCACTCCCAGCAAGACGCCTCGGTTCTGTATCCAGTTCAGATCCATGACTTTGATAGCTCTGGGTTGGGAAGAACATCTCTGAGCGAAGCGGCCCAAGGCCGCGCCGATGCTCAGCAGTGGGGCAGCCTCGGCTGAAGCATCAAGTGGCGTCACTGCGTCACTGAGTGCTGCTGATCCGAGCGGCCCAGGCGAAGCCCTCCGCCGGCGCCTTCCATGCCGACTGCAACTGAATTTCAGGCTCTAAACTCTAAACGCGCAACCACCACAAGGGGCCTCCTGTGAAGGGCCGGCAGCCGAGGTCTGTGGCGCACGGGGAGTCTGGTGGGCTGCGGGAGGCCCGGTCAAAAAGCAGCTGCCTCCCAGCGTCTCAGATCGCATACACTGCTCATGCACTGCTCGCAGCATCACGACTTGGGGTACTTGTCGTGGCTAGGCCCGGCCTAGCACCGCCGTAGCGACGAAGACGGCGGCACAGACCTTTCACACATGCGGGGCATGGTCTCATTGCGAGACATGAGCAGACTGCGATCCCTTTCTTGCGGAGGAGAGGCAGGGTAGGAGGAGCGCGCCATGACTGACAAGGGCAGGCTGGAAGGGCACTAAAGCAAAAATCCTGTGTGGGCCAACAGGCGGATTGCAGCTTCTGACCGAGATTCTAGGATGAGCCTTTGTGCCCGAGGGTCACATGTCGGTGCCATGATGCATACAGGATTGCGGCTCGCTTCTTCTCTGACGCGTCCAGCCTCTCTCTGCGACTGCAGCTCGAGCTCTAAAGTGTGAGACGAAACACTGCTTCATCATGCTTTGGAGAAGGATGCATCAAAGAAGCTTCGAAGTCTGGGTCTGAATGGGCCTTGGACCCCTCACGTGTATTCGCTGCATTTCTGCCCTCACTTCTGCAGCCTGCTGAAACTACAAGGCTGTGGTGGCGGTTGGCGGCAGTCCATGTGGCATCATCTCCAAGGTGGCGAAATAACGACATCGCAGCACACCTTAGGTGCTTTTCACTACATGCTGAAAGCTTCGGCAACAAAGCGAACCTTCTCAACTGCAGAGTCCAGCACGCAGCCGTATCAAGGGTTTGTTCTTTTCCGCGTGGTTTTGAAAACCTTCTCAAAACTTACAGGTCTCACAAACAGACTGCCAAGGTTCTGAGCAGCCCGTCGATTCATTGCAGGTTGCGGTGCGCACAGCCATCCAGAGTGTGGGAAAACTGAAGGACTGGCATTCTGCACACCACTCAAGGGCGCAGCCCACGGACTACCCGCGATTCATCTTAAAGGGACGTTTTAAACTAGGACTGTCTAACGATGAGACGATGAAAGTCTGCGGTAGGTCCGCGCTCTTAGCTATGCTCTGCGCGACACTTCGTCATCGCGAGTGTCAGCTCCACTGACAGTCTCGAAGATCTTGTCCAAGCATGTCCAAGCCTTCAAATTCAGAGCCTTCAGGATTCTTCGGTGGTGCTTGGCACCAGAGTCGTCCGATTCAGGTCGAGCTTTCAGCTCAGAAATGGTGAGAGTAGATCATTTGCCTCAGATCCCAGGAGTTGGCATGCTCAATAAGACAGCTGCCTGCTCAATGGAACTAATGGAGCATTCGTAACTCGTAACTGAGCCGGGCGCTCGTATGTCGGGAACGGATACCTCAGCACTGGTGCAAGAGCCATGCAAATGAGCCGCCACATCGGAAAACGCAGGGACTTGAATCGGATGACAGCGACATGCAGGCTTGGTCAAGCCTGGGTGTCACAAAATGTTGCTGCAATCCGCTCGGTTGCGGCCAAGGCACAAGCTAGCTTCGATCATGGTTTCTGCTTTGTCCACCTCGGAGCGACATTGAATTTGCTGGTAGTCGGACGGACAGATTTCGCTTCCTGATCGAAAGCTCGACAAACTGCAGAGGTCGAGTTGCTGCCGCTCGCAGAGCCGCCATCTGCGCCCTTCCGAAAGGCTGGGTCTGCTTGCTTTGAATCGCTTGACGGGAGGCCCTGCTATAAACCACAGGGGCATCGAAAAACCTGCACCTCAAACTCGAAACACTCGTGTTGTTGCTTACTTCGGTCAGGAAACACTGAGGTTGAGAATAAGAAGCGTGGTATCAGTTAAGTGCATTCGTGGGTTGAAGGTCTGACAGTGGCACCCCCTGCGGCCTGAACGTGCTTGAACGTCCATCCCAGAAACCGGAAACTTCCTGGGCTCCCGGCTTAACGGTGTCGCAGAGATAGGTGGCCTCCTCCGCGAGGGATGTGTGGGGCTTGGCCTTGTAGACAGCCTCGGAAGCTTCAGGGCTCGGAGTGGCAAGAGCGGGACCTGGGACCGCAACGGATGAAACTCTTTTCAAGAAAGAGGGCCTGCAACTTCTCGACCTGGTCCACAACGTTCTCGTAGACAGTTTTCCTGCTACCAGTCAGCTTGTCCACGCCCTTGTACTTGTCCAGGTCCTGCACTCTGGTTTTTCGCTTCTGTTCAATACGCAATGCGCGAAGCCTCTGTGCGCTTCATTGCGCTTCGGGGCCTGTAGGCATCGAGGCTTTCTGTTTCACCACCATGTCAGCCTACATCCAAACAACCCTGGCCCCAGGCTCAATAGGACTCTAGGCTCCTTGGCGCATGCAGGCAGAAAGCCGGTCTCGACCATCTGGATCATGGTTTCCACCTCACAGCCTCATCCACACAAGGCGACAAAACACTCCGACAGAGCCCTGGTCCCTAGCAGCAAGCGCCAGTAAGCGATGCTTAGGCTACGGCAGATGCAGGAGATATAGTTCTCGTACATCACTTCCTGCCGTGCCTCCGTCTCCTCCTTGGTGTAGATCTTCAGGGTCTCGAGAAGCTTGGTGTTCTTCTCAGAGCTCCACGTGGCAATGGCCTTGGGCGTGGTGTTCAAGTTTGGCAGGCCTCGCTTGCTTGCCTCGACAGGCCACTCTGCTGAGTAGCCGTTGCCGGTGAAGATCACGTGCTTGTTCTCCTTGAACACTTGAGCCACGGCATCACGATGGCTCATGCCACCCTCGATGAGCGAAGCCATGTGGGACATTCCAGCAGACATGACGGCGTTGCAGACCATGATTGGGAGGCAGCAGTTCTGGGAAGAGCCCACTGCACGGAACTCAAACCGGTTGCCGCAGAACGGGAACGGGGCTGTGCGGTTGCGGTCTTCAACGTTGGCCTCGATGTGCATGGCAGAGCTGCATCCCGTCTCCTGCTTCTTCTTCTCGGCCTTGTATCCTGTTCAGTTTAAGACTTTCCAGGCCGTGCAGCGAAAGCAGCTCAGCTAGTCTTGTTCTGCGACACAGATTTTGCATGCATTGGGAAGCAGCGCATGCACACGCACATCTATCAATCAACCTGGCAGCAAGGACCTTCTTGCTTGGAATTTCCAACTTTTCTTAAAATCTCGAGCTCCGGGCCCAGAAGATCGCCGCCGCTGACCACGGAATCCACGAAGGACTCGAAGCCCTGGCCCGGGTACAAAGAGATGATGGCCGGGGGCGCTTCTTGCGCTCCCAAGCGGTGGTCATTGCCAGCGCTGGCCACGGTGCACCGCACCATCTCCTCAGTTCAGTCTGGTAACGAGACAACGGACAATGGCTCTGTCGCGGAAGAGCACTGACATGTACAACCGAGGGGGTATACCACGTGTGGCTAGCGTATTAATATGTTGCTTGAAAACGTACGACATAACAGCCAAGTCTCGTTGTACTGCGCAAGCCCATAAGCCAAGCAGGCAATGGCAGTCACGTACAGCTTAGCACCATCTTCGTTCTTTCCCGGGTAGAAGAAATTCAAGCCGGTGTCAGTTCCGATGGACCAGTTGGCGTGCTTGCCGCTGCCATTGATACCGGCAAAGGGCTTCTCATGGAAGAGCACCTGAAGGCCGAGCTTCGCGGCTTCCCGGTTCATGACCTCCATGAAGCAAACGTTGCTGTCGCAGGACACGTTGGCAGCACGGAAGACGGGGGACATCTCGTGCTGGCCAGGCGCCACCTCGTTGTGCTTCACAGCCATGGGGCAGCCGATTTTCAGCATTTCCGCCTGAACGACATCCAGAAGCTCCTGCACCTTGCCGGGGATCGCCTGGAAGTAATTTAGGTCCCCTTGTTGGTGCCGTGTGGGCAGCCTGCCAAACAGTGTCCGGCCACAGTTCACCAAGTCAGGGCGGGCCTTGAAGTGATCTGCCGAGAGGACAAAGAATTCCTGCTCCCAACCCAGGTAGCTGTGCATTGTCTGAGCATCCTTGCCAATGCCGATAGCCTGCAGCAACCGAAGGCCGTGCGTCTTGACAGCATCCATCGACCGCAGCAGCGGAGTCTTCTCATCGATGCACTTCCCGAAGTGGGTAACGAAAGCGCATGGAATGTACAGACAGCTATCCATCACAAAAGGTGGGGATGATCTATCCCAAGTGGTGAAGGCGGCTGCGGAGTGTGTAACACGCAGGCCGCCATTGGGAAAGGAGGAGCCATCCGTCTCTCCTTGGAAGAGACGCTCGTGAGGCAGGCAAGCCTTCATCGGCTTCGTCGTGAACTGGGAGCCAAACTCCAGGTCCATCAGAGTGTCCTTCTTGAAGGCGCCTAACATTCCACCGACGGCACCGCCACCGCCTTGGGTCGCGTCACGGCCCTCTACGCAGCACAGGCAAGTTGCATGCAACTCTCCACAGCTATCTGCCCCTCACCGCACAATAGGGATGGGTCCGAGGTTTATGCCAAGCTGCCGCGAAGAGGGAAGAACCAGTGAGCAAAGTCAATTGCCCCTCGCTCCCGGGCCCACTCGAAGATCGCTTCCGAGATGACCTTCTGGTCTTCCTGCGAAGGAGGGTAACCATCAGCTTTCACGACACAAAATCTCACACCGCACTGCGTTTAGGCATGTGAGCACCTCTGTTGTAGGAGCGCCCGTGATCAAGCACTCGTTGAAGCGCTGGACGACTGCGGCAGGCAGCTTCGCAGCCATCACTGCATCGTCGAACATGCATGTCCCTGCGGCCGTCAGAGCATCAGCAGACATGGCTGCAGTAGCGGCGCTCGTGCTACCGCTGCCCGCGCTCCTGAAATTGAACCTAATGGCTGAATGTCCAGGAAATGCCAGAAAGCTTGACTCCCTTGAACAAACGATGACGTGCAGCACTCCTCTCAATCTGCAGATCCCGAGAACGCAGCATCTGGGGGCTTGCCCTCCTCAGGCCAGTGCGCTGCCTGTTCATGCAGATCGAACTTCACGCATGTTGCGGGAGAGTCGCAGGACATTTATGTGTGCAAGCCATCGTGAGGCAAGCGGCAAGATGCAAGCACAAATTCAGCATGCAGTATGGCCGATACCATGTTGAAGACGCTCCTGTGTACAACTCTCTCTGTGCGTGTACGGATGTGTACGGTGTACGGTACATGTGTCTGTGTGCACGTATACATACAGACATACAGACAGACTAGCCAGCATCAGAATTGTGTTTCCGCTCCATGATTCTGCATGAAATGCTCAAGACACTTACGTCCCGGATGCCCCTGTAGATACTTGCATTGACATACGCTTCTTATTCTCAAGACTGACGGCACTGACATGCAAAGCGAGACTGCAAAGAAGACTTCAGAAAACGATGTCCGCCTGCAGTCGTCCTGCTTCTTGTCGAACACCTTAAAGCTCGACACCGGCACGGCAAGGAAGGAACAACGTCCACGCATGGTAAACCCCAAACCACCAATGAAGCAAACTGTTAACCATGGGAGCTGAAGAAGTACAAGGTCGAGGGACCTGTTACCGAGTGGGCACGAAGCCGAGATATGCACACCTCTGTGTTTGTTTTCAGCTGCCTGTCTGCTGGGCGGTTCCTTGGCGCTTCGAGCAGTACATTGTGACTCTTCAAGTCAACAAAATTCCATCGAGTGCTGCACTGTAAAATCAATTGGAAAAGAAGCTTCCGCTCCACATTCCTCCACCTCAGAAGTGGTGAGAGTAGATCATGGCCTCGTAGGTGGGGTAAGGGTAGAGAGACGACTCCATCATACTCTCCGCCTTGTCCACCTTGGCACGGAGCGCCACCATCTGCGGCTTCACGGTGTCGCACAGGTACGTGGCCTCCTCTGCCAGAGAGCTGTGGGGCTTGGCTGCGATCAGAGATTTCAACTTCTCCGATTCGTCGACGATGCTGTCGTACACGGCTTTTCGGCTGCCGGCGAGCTTGTCGAAGCCCTTGAACTTCTCCAGATCCTTGGCGCAGGCTGGCAGGAAGCCCGTCTCCACCATCTGGATCATCGTCTCAACCTCACAGCACATGCAGGAGATGTAGTTCTCGTACATCACTTCCTGCCGTGCCTCTGTCTCCTCCTTGGTGTAGATCTTCAGGGTCTCGAGCAGCTTGGTGTTCTTCTCAGAGCTCCAGGTGGCAATGGCCTTGGGCGTGGTGTTCAAGTTCGGCAGGCCTCGCTTGCTTGCCTCGACGGGCCATTCCGCAGAGTAGCCGTTGCCGGTGAAGATCACGTGCTTGTTCTCGGTGTAGATCTTTGCGACGGCATCACGATGGCTCATGCCACCCTCGATCAAGCTAGAGAGGTGCGCCATGCCCGCAGACATGATCGCGTTGCACACCATGATCGGGAGGCAGCAGTTCTGGGAGGAGCCCACGGCACGGAACTCGAAGCGATTGCCACAGAAGGGGAACGGGGCTGTGCGGTTGCGGTCCTCGACGTTAGCCTCAATGTGCATGGCAGCGCTGCATCCCGTCTCCTGCTTCTTCTTCTCAGCCTTGTATCCGAGCAGGTCACCGCCGGAGCAGATGCTCTCCACGAAAGCCTCGAAGCCCTGACCTGGGTACAGAGAAATGATGGCCGGAGGGGCCTCCTGCGCACCAAGGCGGTGGTCGTTGCCGGCACTTGCCACGGTGCAACGCACCATCTCGTTGTACCTTGGCCGACAGGGATGACGAGCCTAAACATGCCTAAGCCACGGGCCCCACTACGCGACGAGAAAGCTGTCGCAGTATCAGACTGTGACTAGGCGGAAGTCGCATAGCATGACTTTCTTCAGAGTTCAACAGATGGGACATCCAAGATACTGCGCAAGGCCGTAGGACAGGCAGGCAATGGCGGTGACGTAGAGCTTCGCACCGGCCTCGTTCTTGCCTGGGTAGAAGAAGTTCAAGCCCGTGTCAGTGCCGACGGACCAGTTGGCGTGCTTGCCGCTGCCGTTGATGCCGGCGAAGGGCTTCTCGTGGAAGAGCACCTGCAGACCCAGCTTCGCGGCTTCCCTGTTCATGACCTCCATGAAGCAAACGTTGCTGTCGCAGGACACGTTGGCAGCACGGAAGACGGGGGACATCTCGTGCTGGCCAGGCGCCACCTCGTTGTGCTTCACAGCCATGGGGCAGCCGATTTTCAGCATTTCCGCCTGAACGACATCCAAAAGCTCCTGCACCTTGCCGGGGATCGCCTGGAAGTAGTTCAAGTCTCCCTGCTGGTGTCGGGTGGGCAGCTTGCCGAAGAGCGTGCGGCCGGTGTTCACCAAGTCAGGGCGTGCCTTGTAGTGGGCGGCGCTCAGCACGAAGAACTCCTGCTCCCATCCCAAGTAGCTGAACATGCACTTGGCATCGGTGCCGATTCCAATGTTCTTCAGGAGGCGCAAGCCGTGGAGGGTCACTGCATCCATGGATCGCAGCAGGGGCGTCTTCTCATCGATGCACTTTCCAAAATGCGTCACGAAGGCGCACGGGATGTACAGGCACTTGTCCATCACGAAGGGAGGCGAGGACCGGTCCCAGGTGGTGAAAGCCGCTGCGGAGTGGGTCACTCGCAGGCCTCCATTTGGAAAAGAGGAACCGTCCGTCTCGCCCTGGAACAAGCGCTCCGCTGGCAGGCAAGCCTTCATGGGCTTTGTCGTGAATTTGGAGCCGAACTCCAGGTCCATCAAAGTGTCCTTCTTGAAGGCCCCGAGCATGCCGCCCACGGCGCCGCCTCCACCACGCAGGGGGAAGAACCAGTGTGCGAAATCGATCGCACCGCGCTCTCGAGCCCAACCGTACATTGTGTCCGCGATGATCTTCATGTCGTCCTGGCACAGAATTGGCATAGAATTGGCATAGCGACCTCAGGATGCTAAATCCTGGAGGCCCGTGTGTCGGCGATCAGGCGGAGTCCCGAGAGCCTCCAGACGCCCTACAGGGAGGGGCCTAAACCAAAGAGGAGGGGACTAAACCCCGACCCACAAAAAGGCATCCAAGGGCGGGAGGATGCTGCAGGCCTGAACACAAGAGCATCCAGCGGAGCGCATCACCTCGCAGGCAAAGCCGATGTGTGCACCAGACGGTAAAACGGAGGTCTAACCGACACCCTGGAGCGCCTTAGACAAGCGACGGGAGGCCTCGGCGGAGGCTCTCAAGACCCGCCTTTCCCAGTTCTGGATCTCTTCCAAGTGTCGCGCAAAAGCCTCGCGCTGCGATCCATGTAGGCGTCGATGGCACTCCGCAGCAGCAAGCGCATCAACCTCGGCGTTCCACTGACGCTGGAGATCAGGATGCGCTCCAGGCCACGGTACCCAAGACGGAGCGGGCTTCCCGTGGGAGGGCACCCAGTGGAGCTGAACCTCCACACCTGAGCGAGCGATGTCAGCGCACAGCATAGCGACATCTCGAACAAGAAGCGGCAGCGCACCTTTGCCGGTCCGAATGGCAGTGAGAGCCGACTGGCAATCAGAGAACACATGCAGCACTTTCACGGCCGTCCGCTGCTCAGAGGGGACAGCACAGAAGACACGGAAGAGAAGGAGAAGCGCATGGAGCTCCGCCTTATAGGGGCTCTGGTCTTCACCAGGCAAGCCGCTGGCAACCTTGACGCGTTGTCCAGGGAGGGTGAACGCGGCAGCACCAACGCTGTGCTTGCTGCTGCCGTCCGTCGCTGCAATGAGAGTCGACTCACCGAGGCACAGGTCCTCCGCAACTTCGGCCACCAACTCATCCGGGGCCACCAGATCCGGAGCAGGGGGCTCCTCAACAGACTCTCGCGCCATCAGGCGTTCCTGTGCACGATTGAGTGGCATCGGAATGCCATGCCTCAAATCAGCAGTGTCAGCACAAACCCAAGACCTGTGAGCCCGACTGGGAGCCGTCAGGCCGCAGGTACAGACGGCATGCTCCTTATCATCCAAGGCATGCATTGCCCCGTAGTACCAGCAGGTGCCGCCAGTAGTTGTCGTCCTGGCACTCACGGTATTCACGGTAGCGACCTCAGGATGCAAAATCCTGGAGGCCCTTGTGCGGGAGGATCGGCTGAAAGGCATCAGCGCCCAGTAGGGAAGCTAAACCACAAGGGCAGGGGGCAGGGAAACCCTACCTAGACAGCAGAGCCAAAGCGCTCAGATGAGCGAACACAATGTTCGCGGCAGCGCCGCCGACATCCCGAACACAGTGTTCGAGGCAGCACCCGTAATCCCGAACACGGTGTTCGAGGCTGCACACCGGGATCCCGAACAAGAGGTTCGGACCCGCACCTGGGGCAAGACTAGCCTACACCCGTAAGAAAGGAAGACAGGCGTCTGGCCGCCTCCGCCGAGGCACGAACGGCGAGTTCTTCCCATTGGCGCAGTCGCTCCAGGTGCTGCGCGAAGGCTCCACGATGCGACCCGTGAACTCGCCTCTTGCACGTAGCAGAGGCAAGTGCATCAGCTTCAGCATTTAAGCCTCGTTGCACATCAGGATGCATGCCAGTCCAGGGCTTCCACTTCGGCGAGGGTTTTCCGTGAGAGGGCACCCAGTGCAGCTGCACGTCCACACCACTTCTGCGAATGGCATCGCGCGCACCCGCAACTTCACGGACAAGTAAAGGGAGCTCCCCGCCTCCACTGCGCAGAGCCTTAATGGCCGACTCACAATCGCAGAGCACGTGAAGTGCAGTCACAGCCGATCGACGCCGTACCGGCACTGCCAGAAAGACCTGAAAGACAAAGAGAAGAGCGTGAAGCTCAGCTTTGTAAGGCCCTTGGTCCTCGCCCTGCAAGCCCATGGCAACCTTGATTCCCTGATTCGGAAGCACGAAAGCAGCAGCACCGATATTGTGTTCGCTGCTACCATCCGTCGCAGCAACGAGCACAGGCTCACGGAAGAAAATGTCTTCAGAGATCTCCGAAACCAGCTCATGTGGAGCAACCAGAGCAGGTGGGGGAGGCTCCTCAATAGATTCCAAAGCCAAGAGCCGGTCATGGGCACGATTGCTTGGGGCAGCAAATCCGACCCGTAGGTCTGCAGTATCAACGCAAACCCATGTCCGGTGAGCTCGGCTGGGGGCCAACAGGCCACAAGTACAGACACGCTGGTTTGGATCGTCCAACTGAAGCTTGTAGCCATAGTGCCAAATGGATCCACCCGTCACCATGGCAGCGCGCTTATCCTCAAGATCCCGAGCCGAGGACCACACAGCTTTGTGACCCAAGGCACGAATGAATGCATTGGCCGGCGGACCTGGAAGCGAGAGGCCCTGCGCCAGGCCTTCCCCTTGCCTGTGCATGGAGATGCGTGTGCGTCCACATCTGGAGAGGGCAACACGGCGGTGATGCAACAGCAGCCACTCACGGAGCACATGCAAACCATCGTGCCCCAGGTGAAAGGAGCGCCGACGCCCACCATCGTCGACACGATGAATGGCACTGCCATCCCGTTCCACAGTCCAACCAAGTCTGTTAAGAAGAGGCGCAGCCAGAGGCAAGAAGTGGTGCCAAGGCGCGATGGCCTCATCAAGCGGAAGAGCTTCATGCCAATCACGATTTTGGCAGTGCATGTTGACCGCCGTGCGGAGAGTGGCCCAATCAACGCAAAATCCTGGACTGGTGCGCCAATCGAAGATTTCATGAAAGATGACAGGAGGGGCTTCTCTTGTGAGGACAGTCTTAAGAGCCCACTTCACAAGTTCATCCAACGTAGAAAGCTCCTTCGTGGAAGGCCTGGCGAACCCCGCAGCCCACAGAAAAGGCGAGAAACAGAGGCTGTGCAGGTGAAGAAGAGTCTGCTTGGGGCACCGCGACACAGCAGCCACGTACACCAGTCTGGCATGAACACGCTCCCAGCAGAGCCGCTCCAAGTGCTTGGGAACAGAAAGATCCAGAGGGTGCGAAACACCCAAGAGAGACAGAGACGTCACACGCGAGTAACCAAGGGTATCAGCGAGGTCCTGGGCAGCCGAAGGGCCAACCACCGAGGACTTGCCAGCATCACAAGTGAGGCAAAAGGCCGTGTCGAAGATCCTTGAGCGCAAGGAGGCCGCACGAAGGCCCTCACACTGAGCCGCCACAGAACCCCCGAGGGCAAGCAACGTCCGATCGTCCTGGTAAGACAGGGCAGTGACATTCGGGCTGGCAACAGTCACAGCCCACACCTGCATCACAGCGGCAGCCACCACAGGAGAAAGGGGACAACCCTGAATCAGCCCGCGGCTAGCAGAGAACCACGAAGTAGAACAGACGCCACGGACCATGAGGAGGCGATCCTGATTCGTATAGAATAGAACGAGGCAAGGACTCTTCTTACAGCAACCGGCATGCCAAAGTGAGCCAAGACTTGGTCAGCCAAAGAGAAATGGACGGAGTCAAAGAAACGTCGCAGATCTTCCTGGACGCCAACCTTTGTACTGCGCAGCAAGGCCGAATGAACTCTCCGGTGAACATCCGAAGTGCCCCGTGATGGCAGACCCCCAAAGGCAGAAGCCCCAGCCCACCGGTGGCACCAGGCACGAAGGCCCGCACACAGGCAGCGAGCACCGCATCTCCAGGCAAGGCACGCCAGGGCAATGGGCCGGTGGCCCCCGGCAGGTTTAGGCAACAAAGAGACAGTGATGCGCTTCCACACCGCCGGAATCGATCCGTCACGAAGTATACCGTGCCACAACTGTGAAAACGCAGTCCACCACTCAAGCGGAAGCATAAGCAACTGCTCAGCCTGAAAGCCATCGGCACCACCACGACGGCCCTTCATTCTGCACATGGAGCGCTTCAGCGCCTCGGGACTGAGGTCGAAGTCAGCAGACTCCTCAACAAGAGCAGGCACAGCGGCAAGCAAAGCGGAGACACGTTGCGAGTGCACCTGAACTTCCGGGGAGGCAGTCCAGAGTTGTGTCCACTGCGGGCTTTCCTGCTCGAGAACAGCTTCAGGCAACAAAGGGGTCCTTACAGCACCTTCCGGGTTTAGGGCCTTGGCATTTCTAGCAAGCTTAAGCTCAGCACGATCCTTGATCCAGCGTCGTTGCTTGGAGATATCCTCTTTGGTGGCGAGCTTCCACGCCTTAAGCCTGGATTGTTTGAGCTCCTCCTCCCGAACGCTCAAAAGCTTTGCAACAGCATCAGCGGCATCATCGAAGTCGCTGGAGCCTGACAACACCTGGGAGAGAGAAGGGAAATCCTTCCCCAGCTGAGAAATGTCACGACGGATCACACGGCCCAGTTCCACAGAACAACCCCTAAGACCCGCATGCAAAAGGCGCCGGTGAAGTCGACGTAAGCGGCGAACGTCAAGCGGCTCAGAAGAGGTGGCCGCCTTATGCTGAACACGCTGCCTACACTTAGGATCCCAAGGAAGGTGCCGCACAGAGGAGCAGGGTTCCCGATCAGTCAAGGCATGATCCGCAAAGGAAGCAAGGACCTCCCAACGTTGGTCCACCGTCTCCGCAGATTTCCAGGCGCTGTTAAAGGAGGGAGTCCGAAAAGCAGACCTGACCTCATCACGCGTGTGGCGAATGGCAACATCGAAGCTCGGCGGGAGCAAGGGAGGAGGGGTATCAAGACCCGCAATGTCATAGTACACACCCTTGTGGTCAGCCGTGCCTGCAAACGTGTGTGCATGAGAAGCAGCGAGCTGAGGGCTCGCCAGAGCGTAGTCAATCACCCAGAGAACCCAATAGTCCATTCAGGAAAGCGCCTTTAAACATTCATCTTTAATTAGAGTCTATAGTCCTTAAATTCATAGGCCTTAATTAAGGTCTGTTACCTTCCTTAATTAAGGTTCATTATTTCTATATATATATATATATATATATATATATATATATTTTATATACACATATACATATTTTTTTCTTTTTGCACATGCATGCATGCATGCACACAGGAGAGTTATTGTATGCTCTCCTATATATACGCATGTCCACACATGCATCATGCATGCATTGCAAAATTTTTGTTGCCATGTTTTGGGATGCATGCACTGCATGAGACGGACTTGAATGCACGTTCGACACATGTGTTGTCTTTTTTTTTTCGGCTCAAGCTCTACGGAAAGGTCACAAGAAGACCACCGGACAGAGTTTCTTTTGCCCTTGCAATCATGGTTGCAGAGGAGATAGTGCTGCATTGCTCTGCTGGAAGTTTGCTATTATTCTGCGACTTGCATGTATACAGGATCGCTCAAGATCGAGATCGCCACGGCCTGTTCGCTTGGAATGGCGATGGTGTTGGAAAAACTTTTGGCTCGGAGAGACGCAGCGACTTTCATGCAGACGGTTTTAACGACATGCACGTGTTGAAACATGTTTTATTGTTTGCGATCGATTTAATGCAAGGATTTGGTACTGGATATGGTGGAGGCATCCCCGTGATTGAGCCTGCAACACCGGTGCAACCTAGATAATTTGGTTTTCCATGCATGGGGGCCAGCGAGCTACACCCACGGACTCTTGAATATGTGCAGCAGGTCGATCCTGAAGGGATCGAACTTGCAACCATGGAAGCAAAACGAAGGTGCAAGATCGCGAGTGCATGCTTGAACTGGGTATATATATGTTTTGTTGCACGCCTGCAATTTTTTTGTTTCGTTTGTTTGAGCATGCTTTAACCTAGCTTTTTCGGCTCAAGCAAGCTGCTTGTATAACTCGATCGATCAATCGATCCTCCTTTTCCTTCAGGAGGACTAGTCATGATGTCGAAGCCAACCGCCAGCCCTACCAAGCCCCGGGCTCGGAACACCGCCACCGATGAGCAGGTAAAGAAGATTCTCAGGAGCAACCTCAGCAACCTGGGCACGGCTTACAAAGAGACGGACATGGAGCTGATCGTGGCAGGCTATGAATCCTTCATAGTCGATTTTCTCAAGGTCTCACCAAGGCTGGTAGCGAAGCAGCTCAGCCGTTGTGCGGCAAAGGTCTTTGAAAAAGAATCCTCGGCGGACGTTGATATGTTCGCCCGCCAAGTTGCGTATTCGCTGAGCTATGTTCGCATCAAAATGAAAGCCGTGACGTCTGGCAAGAAGACTCACCCGGCTATCAAGCGGGTCTGCGAGTGCTTGCAGAAGCTAGATGCAGATGAGCTTCAGCAGCAGGATCGCCTGAGTTCGCTTCGCAAGAGAGTGCATAGCCCAGACAGGTCTGCGGGCGGCATGCACATGTGGAAAGGGTGTGCGAATATAAAGGCGAAGGCCAGTCCTGGCAAGAGGCACAAGTCTCAGTCGTCTCGAGATCCTAGGCCAAGCAAGACAGGCACGACTTCGACTTCGGCATCCACGTCTGCAGACATCTATGCCATGTACGGTATCTCCCGTGGTGCTGAGGAAGCCTTGTCGAAGACGGCTCCTGCATCGCCCGCAATCTCGATCGCTAGCTGCAATACAATTCACAGCTCCGATGGCCAGCCTGCGGAGGATCTCGAGACCGCACCCGCAGAGGAGGCTTCCGGATCCTCGGGGATCACATTGCAGTACTTTTGCAAGGCCTCCTGCAAGTACATCACTCGGATGGCGGACGGCACAGAAAAGCGGCATGCTGTGTTCAAAGGACCTGAAGGATTTCTCAAGACCAAGGTCTTCGGCAAGCTCAAGGACCTGGATGTGCCCAACTTGTTCCTGCAGACCTTCGAGAATGCAGCAGGCCGTGGTGGCATCTCCAAGATCATGAAGCGGCCAGCCGCTAAGAAAACGGCTAAGAAGGCTCCTGCTAAGAAGGCTCCTGCTTCTGCCGGGTCTGCATCTGCAGATGGCGAGGCCGAGGAGCCCGAAGAGCCCGAGGAGCCTGAGCTGTCCACACCCCCGCCCAAGAAGCCAGCGACTCCGAAGTCCAAGTCCTCGCCGAAGCCATCCCCGAAGTCCGCAGCGAATCCATCCCCGAAGGCCGCAGCTACCCAGGCTGGCAGTCCGAACAGGGACAGTCTCATGTGTGCCTCCGTCCACTACATCATGGCTTCCGATCGCACTTACATCACCGGCAAGTTCGGTCCAACCAAGGCCTTGCTCATCGAGATGCACTCAAGGAAGTCCGACAAGCATCGGGATCTGGTCAAGGAGCTTTTCCTCGAGGCTGAGCGGCTTCATTCGACTACCCCCTGGGGTGAGCTTCGTGAGCTGATGCGGAACCGCCGTGAGGAGGTCCTCCAGCGGCAGGCTGAGTGATAGCTTGATCGAGGGATGCCAGGGCCCAGCCCGGTTTTGCGGAGATCGATGCAGCTTTGGGCAGGTTTTGAGGTTGATCTTGCCATCGGTTTGAAACAAGTGTGTGTGTGTGTGTGCACGTGTTTGCATGTCTGTGTGTGTTTTTTTTGTGTACATGTGCATGTGCATGTTGGCAATTTTGGCATGCAGAGGAATGCTTTGCGAGGCTCCTTGCATGATTTCTGGCACGAGTTAAGCATATATACATAATATGTAGCTATATATATATATACATAGAAATTTGTCCTGCAGCCCTTTTCATGTGTCCAACCTTGCCCTCAGGCCCGGCTTGCTGTTTTCTTCTTAGCTATGCATGCATCGACCTTTAAAAAATTTTTGTCGCATGAAACTCCTTGCAGGTGATGGGGCCCATCGAGATGATCTTCGAGGTTTATCTGCATGGCATGCACGAGGACTGCCAGTGCTTAATGTTTGCATCTGCATGTTTTCGAAGAGCTAGGCATGCAGGAGTGGCAGTGCTTGAATGTTCGTGTCTCCTTTGAATAGGAAGGCATGAGCACAGCATGCGAGCCTCCTGAGATCGCGGCTCGAGCGACAAAAGAAGTTCGATCCAATATCTTCTTGTGCGAACAAGCATGGGTGCCGCCCAGTCGACAACGGGTAACAACAACCCGGCGAGCTCTGGCAACACCAATAACACCCCAGCCCCCATCGTGATCCAGCTACAGCTGGGAGCAGAGCAACTCTCCGCACTCACCGGAGCTGTTGCCCCAGGGGTTCACGTGCATGTGCCCCCCAGTGGGTCGGATGCAGCAGGCGGAGCTAGCACGACTCCAGGAGCTGCCCCCCATGGTGCTCCTCCGGTACCGTTTCCGCCTCCCCCGCCTCCAGCGGAAACTGAGCAGTATCTCAGGTGGTGCAACCGCTGCAAGCAGCAGAGCTACTTCAGGGAGGGCATCTGCCTGAACGAATGGTGCTCCGTGCCTTGGCTGCATTATTGTTTTTCTAAACCTTCGACTACTAAACCCTGCAGCCCTTATAAATCAACCTTTAAACCACCAATCACAAACCCCTAAGCCCCTAAACCATGAGATCTAATTTGAAGATAGGAGGCCGGCATTTCGGGGGCTGCCTCCTTAAGTTCGTTGCTTTTGTTCCATGGACAAGATGCTAGCTAAGTTGGCTTGGTCGCGGCCAGACGTGGACTTGAACGTGGCGAAGAACTGGGGTGGAAAGAAAGTGGAGGCTTCGGTGCGCAACCACGGAGTGCACAAAGCAAAGAAAAACCGCGGGCAAAAGCGGAAAATCTGGTGGCAAAAGCACCTGGAAAGAAAGGCCGGCAAGTGGGGCGGCGACTATCAGGGCGACGATGAGGAGAATAAGGAAGATGCGGAGGAAGGCAAGGCCCCTCCTTTTGTGGATCCAGACCACCAGCCCCTGGGCAAGAAGGACGGCCCCGACGATGACCACCACGATGATCCGGGCCGCACAGTGGATTCAGCAGGATCGGCAGGATTGCCGCCGCCGATCCACGTGGTTTAAGGACCGATCCTGGTCGCCTGAAGATGCATCTTCGCTTGGAAAAGAGTTGAGGTGTGCTTTGAAGCCTCGGTTGTTTGTGCTTGCATGTCTGCATGCATGCATATATATATAGCAGTTCATGCATTCTCAAGAAGTCACTTCCTCGCAGGACCCAGACAGTGCCGACGAAGCCGAGGCACCCGGGCTTATCATGCATGGGCTGGGTGCTAGTGTATGCTCCTCGTGCAGGTATATCTACATGCCGAACTGCGGGGACGATGTGGGGCCGGCCCCGCACTGAAGTTTGTGGTCTGTGTCGCTGAGGCTGGCTCTGGGGACTATACCATCCAGGCTGGCCTTGGTCGTGGTGCCGCTGCCTTGGCTGTGTTTGTGTCTGTTCAGGAGACACTCCTCTTCAGCAGGAGTGCCTCCTTGGGGTTTCAGGAGGCGATCCCTCCTGGTGTGCATGGTGTGAATAGATTTAATCTAAACCACCCAAAGATCTAAAACCCTAGACGCCCAAAGCCCTGAAACTCTAGAACCTTAAGCCTTAAAACCCTCAAACCCTAGAACCCCTCAACCCTAAAACCCCTCAACCCCTAAACCCCTAAAGCACCAAACCCCTAAAACCCAAAACCATTCCAACCCTTAAGCTCCAAACCACCGTGCCGCACAGCACGACACCTCGGAGCCGCTGCAGGTGTGCATTCTCCAGGGACTACAACATGGAGGCTGTTGTTGCCAAGTAAGCTCCTGCTCCTGCAGGTGTGGTGCACTGTTGCCGGCCTCGTGTGTTGCATGCCTGTGGCACCGAGGCCCGACTTCACGGACTATGTCGTCGAGGTGGCTG